CTCAGAGCTGGTTTTAATAAGAGAGCCATTAGAGGCCAATTACAGTCTAAGGCTGTACATGAATTGTGAACCACCATCAGCCATGTTTTGAGTTGCAATAAGTTGCAAGTATACCAAAGCCACAAGAAAAAATTGGTGATTAGATATTGGGTAGACTAAAAACCATATTCAGAGAAAATAAGCAGGTAGCACAGATACACTCACCAGAACACAAGGGAGAACTGACAGAAATCAGTAACAGCTAGAGGGCCCAATCTAAATCATTACTTTTAATACAGTGAGTCTCTTTGGTCACTGTTAGATCGAGGTGAAATATTTTTTATTACCAAACCATATGACCAAATTGCAAGTTATTCCTTATATGATTAAGATTTTTTTTTTTTAATCTTAAAAGGTAGTGATTGGTTTATTGGTTCTGGCTAGACAACTGACTAGACAGGTTCTATGCAATGGATGCTATGATAGTGGAGGATGCTCAAGTGTTTTTTCTGTGATGGTACTGTTTCGTTGAAATCCCACTGCCCTCACTTTTGGAGGATAGGAAACTTCCAATCACATCATCATACTGTTGCATTTTTCAGAAATAATTGTGCCTGCGGTGATATACACTGAATGATACATTCCATAGTTCATATTCCTTCAGTGTAGTCGTGTGAAATGAACTGGGAACTTGAGACTGAGAGACATCCTCTTGCCAAAGCCATTTAAACAGTGAGCACCTGGTTGACTCAGAATGGAATCCATAGCTAAGCTGGAATTCCACTTCTATGATTTGCTATGGCTTCTCATCAACTCAGAATTAATTGTCTGTTCCATTTTATGATCATTGGATTGGTGAGGCAAACTACTATTTAACTACTAGCCTTATTCTGTCTCCTTTACTCTTTGTAGTTCCCAAGAGGGTGATGCTTATGATAGATTTTTATCAAACATTTTAAAGAAATGGGGAGTGAGGGAACAGCAGTAGTTTCCTAGGAGGAAAAAAATGGTGTAATGTGGGTTTTTAAATGATGAAGCCTGACCTTATCCTGTCAAGGGATAGCAAAATGATAAATTGTCTAATCAGCCAGGTTATCCAGTCATGACCATACTGAAAATGAAGGTTTCTCCAATGGCTAATGATGGAACATGGATGCTTGTTGCCCACATATAAAACAGATTGATAGT